TTTACTTTTCTCTTACTCTATGTAGTACATTATATTTTGTACTCTTATTTAAAAAATTATAATTTAATGAACCTTTATTACTGTGCCCCTTAAAAGTAATTTAAAAAAAAAAGAAATCTTTTTCTTCTTTAATACAAATCATAATAATTTCAATATCTTAAATGAAAATAAAATTAATACATAATATCAAAATGTAAACAATATTACATAATTTCATATACATACATGTGCACAACATATATTTATATACATATATGTATATATATCAATATATTCAACGCTTATTCATTATTTTCATACTTTTTATCTTATTTTGTGATGCCTCTTTTCATTATATCCTTCTATATTATTAATTTATGTTAGCATAAATAACTATACAAAAATCCTTATATCATCATTCAAGAGCCTTTTTTTTCATTATATACCACATATATATCATTTAAAATATATATATATCACATATATATCATTTGTATATGACCTGAAAAAAAAAAAAAACAAAATACGAATATTTACATCAATATTAAATGAGCTTATTAAAAAGGATGAACGAACAAAAAACAAATTTTAATTTGCCCGTAACGTAACGTAATTGGTAAGTCGTCTTAAATACCTTCAAACTATCCATTTACTTAATCACACATTCTCATTAGACTCAAAAAATGCTCATATATAAGTGCAAGTATTTGTACCATAAAATGTTAAGTAACTGTGTGTAATTTAAGATTTCTTGTATTAGCACTTTTAAATTAAAAAAAAAAAGTACAGTAAAACTTTTCGGTCCCAACCCAATACCGTTTTGTCTCACATATAAGTCCTTTTAAAAAATAATAGAATATATATATTTTTATTATTTTCCTTTATTTTTCATCTCTAATTTGATTTTTACAACAGTTTTACAATTAATGTATGCACAAATGTGTGTATGTATATATGCGTATACTAAATTATCCTGTTTTTATTCTTCTGTTTTCTTCTCCTCCTCATTTTCTTATTTACCAACAAACAACTGAATGCATTTATAAATTTTACAAAATCACGAAAAAAAAATCCTTTCACTAATCATCATACAAATTTTTTTACTCTGCATATACAAACATTTATACTCTAAAAACGTACACATTTCCATACACATGAAATGCACTTACATACCTTAATCTTTTGACATTACAGGTTTCAAGTTTATCAATATCTAAAAATTTAAATGATTTCATACAAAATGTATAAAAAACAAAGGCAACATAAAAATACCCCTACAGGACATACAATAAACAAAAATAAAATAATATCAAAAAAAGAACATCTCGTATATCTCGTATATGTGCTGGCTTTTACATAAATAACAATAATGAATGCCTCCTTATATAAATGCAACAATATTATTTTAAAGGATATGCTCTTTTTCATATTATATTGCAAAACAATTCATATAAGATCACAAAAAAAAGCAAGAGAATAAAAAATAAAATAAAAAAAAAAAATTGTACTGACTGATGTTTTTAATGCGTGGGAATTCACCAAAACATTACATTCCCACGAAATTTTAAACGACATCAAAAAAAAATTTTTTTTTTTATATAAAAGCAGATTGTTATAAATAATTTTTTTTTTCTTCACTTCAAAATTAAAAAAAAATTTTATTTTTAAACCCCTAAAAATTAACCACCAATACTTTGACAAACGGAGAAAACCAAAAAAAAAACACAACAACAAATTTATTTGATTTCCTTATCAACAAAGAAAGAAAGAAAAAAACTCCTGATAAGTTCACATTCAACTCATGAGTTTTAATTTTAAAAAAAGAAACCTCTTTCTTCAATAAATTTCTTCTTGCCCTAAGTGTGTATGCATAACAATTTTACAATTCAATTCAATTCAGTTCAATTTCAAAACTCATATATCGACTATAAAATATTTATTTTTTTTTTTGTAATACAACACAACACACAGAAACACACACACAAATGTAAACATATAAAACGAATACAAACAAGAGCATTAATATTTCAGATAAGCGCATAAAATACGCACATATTTAAAAAAAAAAAATTTAAAAAAAAAAAAATTTTCGAAAAAAACACCTGCCATTTTTTTTCAATAATTTTTAAATACGATCCCAAAATAATAATATTGTATATCCTACATTTAAGTAGCAAAACAAAAATAACAAAACAAAATCAGGAAAAAAAAATGAGAGAATATGAATGTCAGTTTAAAATTTTCTACATGAAGAATATTTTACTTTTTATTTTACACAGTTTACACCCTCTCCCTCTCTCCGCATTTGTAAATTCAAAACAGAGAATCAGAGAGATAAAATGAAAGGAGATATTATTAAAAAAATGACAAGTAAAATATTTGTTTCTTATAAGAAATTTTTTATGTAGCCACTTTGTATATATTATTGTAGAGTATGTAAAGTTATGTAGAGGACTTAGAGCACTGTTAAGTCAATTTTAAATTTGATAACATGGAGAAAATATTAAAGTGGTTGCACATTTTCAATTTGACAATGAATTTTGAAATGACAATTAATTTTAAGTGGAAAATATTGAAAAATATTAAAAATTGAAATTAATTATTTAATATGGAAAAACTTCACTTACTAAAATATACGTTCTTACATTCTTCTATGGTCCTTATAAAAATATGATTGACAGTTTGTAATCTAAATTTATAATTGGAATTGTCAAATTGTTATTTTAGTTTTTTTTTTATCAAATAATATTGTCTTTATTGCCAAACTGGCAGCACATGAAGTCACGATTTTTTTTCCGACGAAAATGTTTTTACGATATGTAAGTGCTATCACATATAATTAATTATACTGTTGCGTCAAAGTCAATTAAAACTATAAAATTATATCTGATAGTTAGGGGTAATTTTAGGCATAATTTACATTAAGTCCATTTGAAATTTATATGAAATTTTTAAAAGGCATTGGTGGGAATTCGGTAGAAAGGATAAAGTTGGTTTATTCTAAGACATGTTGAGCTCTATAATCGGGTCGGCGTGATGTCATCAAAATTAAAATTTAATTAAATGTAATCAAACTATTTTGTATAATTTTTTCAACATTTGTTTGATGCTCTCAGTGTGAAACTCATTATTTTAATTACGCCCATATAGCATAATGAGTGCAACTACTGACGCTATGTATTAACAAAATTTTTTTTGCATCTTATCACTAAGTTTAATCAAGAATCTTAAAACATATCGAATGTTTCACTATAAATCCTCTAATTTATAAGCAAAATAAGTTAGAGTTAGTCTTAAAATGTGTAACCATCTTTATTTGTAATTTTGTTACGCATTATTATCATTTCATTAAATTTCTCGGCTCATCGTACAAAGCACTTTAAATTAAATACCATATAATAAAATAAAAAAAGAAAAATATTCAAACCAATCATTAAAAAGGTTTCAATCCCATCAAATTTATGTTCGATAAAGAAAATTTGATTCATTAATTTTCAAGGGTTCGTTTATATTTTATTTTTTCTTTTGACGTTATTAGGAGTTCAAGGAACGGGGAGAGTAGGGGAGAAGTATTTTTACGATATGATAAGATAAAAGCAAAAAATCATATAAACTGAAATGTTAATAAAAACTCCTTAATAGGCAATATAGAACATACAAAAACATGTTAAGACTTGATTTATTTTGATTTCGGGTGGATTAAAAATTAAATTTATAGAATTTTAGGTTTAAACTTTTCCGATATTGATTATTTCTTAAATATAGCTGTTTGTACCTGTCTAAGTGTAGGAGTTGTGAAAATAATAAAGCAAAAATAATGTTACAACTTATTTTTTCAACAATTTATACACATATTTAAGTATATAGTTCACTATTTGAAATTCTTCAATAAAATATTTAATAATTAAAGAACATTTGTGTAAGTTACGCGTTGATGTAAGTAAATAATTATCATACCCCTAAAAGTAGGCAATTTTTTAATATTTATTTTTATAAATAATATTTATATTTATGACAGAAAAATTAAAGAAAAATTGTGCTTCAAGCGAATTCAAATCGGTGACCTTCTATAAATTACAGCTCTACCAACTGATCTATATGGTAATGTAAGAGTTCTAGATGAGTTGTTCTTCACGTTACCTTTACTTATGACATCAAAATTTAGCATTATATTTTTGGCAGTAAAATTAGTAATACTTCTACTAACTATCCGGAAAGAATGAAAGAAACTCAAGAAAAATGATAAACAAAAATTCACTCCATTCTAAAACATTAAATTCATAATCTCATAATTTTACAATATTTGAAAGTGAAAAAAAAAATTTATTAAAAAAACCCTTAAACAATTTATACAAAATTATTTTTCTCTTCACTCATTTTAATAAAAAAAAAAAAGAAACCAAAACACTTGCAACACGATCGGTGCCGTATACATTAAAAATTGTTATACACACAATATAAAATTAAATGGAATGAATCACCCTAAAATTTCTATACATTACTCTTATCTTTTGTTCAATAATCCGAGAAGTCCTTTTTTTTATTTTGTTTCGTAATACAATATTATTATCGTAAACATTCACACTACCACACTCAAACAATTGAGAATTCTCTCATTTCAACTTGCAATACAAAAACAAAGAAAAAAACCTGATATCCTACATACGTTTTTGTTATTGTGTTTTGTTGATTATTTTCTGATCCGTTTCCGTGACATGATATTTTTCCCAGTATTATTCTATCCTATCTCCTCCGGTAATTTCACTCTCACACATACAAAAAGACAGAAAAAAAAATAAACAGGAAAATAATTATTCTTTAATATATGTAGAATTTTTAATAGGGCAGCGCACAATAAAAGTAAAAGAAAAAGTGGAAGGGATGGATTCACGATTTCTATATAAAGAAGATTACTCGATCATACTGAATCACTTGAAAAGAGACCTTTAACTTAAAGGGAACATTTTTTATTATACCAAAATAAACAGAAAAATTTCATAACATGGACTATAAAAAGAAAACATCAACAAGTTATAGTATTAAAAAAGTTTTGAAAACTTTATTTCAAAGACATCTTAATAATAAAAATACCATAAGAAATACAAGATCAATGGAATCATTAGAATCATTGGATAATTATCGTAATTCACAATTTGAAGAGCATTATGAAGAGATTGGTGATAATGCAGCTAATGAAAAATTACTTTCATATATTTATAATGAAGTCAACAATTCATATAATCAATATCATAATAAAATTAATGATGACAATTGTATTTCAACAACAATTAAAGCAACATCATCATCATCATCATCATCATCGATGTTATTGAATGAACAAAAAATAATAGGGGAACAAAATCAAAATGAAGAAGAAGAAGAAGAAGATATTTTTGTACCAGTACGTTTTGCAAGAACTGAAGTCGGTACATATTTTTGGACAACAAATTTACAACCTGCTGCAATTATAACAACAGTAACAACACCACTTGGTGATAATATGGATTTAATACAACCGGCATTATGTTATACAAATTGTCAATATCCTCAATTACAATTTCAAGATCGTTGGGCACAAGCTTAATTAATTCGCATTAAACATATTTCCTATTAACATATATATATATACATATAAATGCAGATCTCATTTGAAACAAGATAAGAAAATGTTCCAGAATTTTTAAGAATTAAATTATCAAAATTTTCAATATGAAAACAAAATCACGACTGTCTTCCAATTTTAGTTTTTAAGAGAAGAAAATTTAAGTTTATCAAATTTTCATTTATAATTTTGTTTTAATTTTAATTTTTTTTTTTATATTTTAATTTTGTTTTTAAAAAAAAAAAAAATATGGAAAAATTTTTTGTATTTGTATAGAGCTTTAATTTTATAAAATTGTGATAATGATTTTATTAATAACGTAAAAATTTATTCAATTTAATTAAATGTTTTTTACTTGTGATAAAATTTAAAAATTGAATAATACAGAAATAAATAATTTGAAAAAAGAAAAATATTTATACGATTTCATTACCTGTTTTTAACATAAATAAATTTTAATATTTTCAGGAACTGAATTTCAGAGACAACAATTATTGCAATAGCATGTAAGACCTTTCAGACACTCATGACAATAAACGACAGATCATTTTTAATCCAAATTTATAATATATTTGCGTGTAATTACAAAGAACTTCAAAAAATTCTTGAATAATTTAACATTTTGTTATGGTTTTAGAGCATATTCAAAAAATTTAGCAACCTACAAGTGGTACCTTGGCTATCATACTATATAGGATGAAAATTTATACAGTACTCAATTGAAATTTGAATTTGAAAATCACTTAAATGAGCAATCTAACTAACCCAAGTAATACGGCAACAGTCCAATAAGTATAAATAAGATTATTTTTAAAAAAATTTTCTCCATGTTGGCCTTTTTCAATGGAACAATTTATTAATTCTTATTAGTATATGCTACATAGTCATTTAAACAATTAATCGTTTGATATTCATTCTTATACAGGACGTTCAACTAAGGGTCCATGTAATTTTAATATGATTCACTCTCTTGGAAATACAATTTTGATTGGTGAATAGGGTAAATTTATTTTAGATTAGCATTAAAGTTTTCACCCTCACTAAAGGCACTTTCACCCTCACTTAGTAAGAAAATCAAAAACACATTATAAAAATGTGAAAGAACCTAGATATTTTGTAAAATTACATCGGGATAAAATATGTTAGCTAATATAAATAATTTTTATATTTATTAAGAAGAGGTTAATATTCTCCCACCTATATTTGTCAATATTAATATTGTGTTATCACTAAAAAAAACTTTAAAACTTTATGAGATAGGTACAAGAAATCAAAATGAATTTACAATTTTATTATCCTAATTCTTTGTGCAAGTGAATTAGAACACTATAAAATGAACAAAAAAAAAATATTCATATTAAATTATCAATTCATTCCAATTAGATTGGAAGAGTTCAATGAATCCAAAAAAATTTTCATAAATATTTACACGTGAATTGATCTGTAAACACATACTTGAAAAATAGCCTTCTAAAATTCTTATTTATATTTTCCAATTCATTCGAAATTATAATTAATATTTGATTTATTATACTTTAATAGAATATTAATAAAAATTAATTATTTTAATATATTCAATGAAAACTTGAATTGACCTGCCGTAATACACCCTTTATTCATCCTTTCTATTAAAATATAAAATGCTCGTGTATACTACGACTACTAAAACATTTCTTATTTTTATAATTTGCATTTCACAATTAATTAATTAACCAAAATAAATATGTAGCTCGTGTACATTATAATAAAACACAATCACCTAAAATGACAATTTTTCAACATCAAAAAACAAAAATAAACAAGAAAACGTGTTTTAGTAAATAGTTTTCTGTAGTTGTTGACATACAAAAGTTGTAGAAATAACCAGAAAGCAACAACAATCTCTGACTACAATATTTCTCTCCATTCCAACAATATACTCTATGGAGATTTTAAAATTTAAACAATATACAATCAATCATACATTAAAAAATATTTTTTTTCTAAAAATACCTTCCTACATTGTTATTGTGAATTATTAATAAATTATTTACACACTATGTGGCGCACACGTCTTGAAAATTTTAATAATGTCAAATTTTAATTTTATTTATTTTGTTTTATTATTATTGTTATTATTGTTTTTTTTTCGCAATATAATTTAAATAATTATTTTTATTTTTATTACCAACAAATTTCGGCTTCTTGAATTTTTTTTTTTTGCTTTTTGAGTTTTACTATTCAACTTTTGTTCTTTTGCTCTTTTTCACTGTTTTTATTGAATTTTGTGAAACGTGTATGCTTAAATATTAATTTATTTATTTTTACATACCTACATTATATACATACAATTTTAAAAGCTATTTATAATAGCGTTAATATTTTGATGACTTTTATTATTTTCGAGGTTTAAGTTTTGTTTTTTTTTGAAAGGCGCGTGCTAACTATTAAAATTGCTTAAAGCTTTCAATAATTTAAAATCTATTCAATTTATTTTATGCAAATAATAGTAAGAAAAAAATGACAAGAATGGCACAAAATAAGATGAAAACAAAAAAGAAACTCTTGTGTTGTACCAAAAAATACAGAAAATTAAATAAAAAATTTTTGTGTTAAAAAAAATACAAGAAAATTAAAAAAATATTTAAAAAATTTGCATAATTTTTGTGAAGTTAAAAATACAAAATAATAAATAACAAATCACCGCCAGCCATAGACTTGACGTAAGAAACGAGCTGACAAAAATTGTACAATACATCATTCAAATTTGTATATTATATACCATATATGTATGTATGTAAGTATATGCAGATAAAATATCTTGTGTTTCCTTAAAATACCTCCGTATCTTTAAAATATCTGAATTGTGTTTAAACTCATACAAAATTTGTATTTGGATTTTTTTTTTTTTTGCAATAAAATCAAAATATGCAAGAAGGGTGTAGGAAAGAGAGGAATGTAAACAACTCAAAATTTTTAAATGACTGGATTGGATTGTAAACAACAACAAAAAAAAAAACAATGACAAAAAATAATAAATATGAAAATTTGACTTCTTGGTGAGTGCAGCTTTCAAGTGAGAATAATTTTTGGGATAATAAGAAATAAAATTATAATCAGTCAGATATACATACAATTAATTTTGTTTTATAATCTTTTTTTCAGAAGTAATTTATTAAATTATTATTATTATTAGATGACTGTCAGCACCATATTGAAGAGTTATCAAACACTGGAATTTAAGAATAAATTATTAATAAATCTCAAGTGATTGTTATGCATTTCTTGTAGCTGAATATTGAACGATCATCAAGACCAATGAAATTATTTTTAAATACATAAAGGATTTCAGCGTTCGGTAACACAAAATTTTGATATTTAAATAAATTTTTCGAAATTTGTTTGGAATTCAATATCTTTTCTCTTTTCAAGATTTAATTTTGACGCTGGGCAAAACACTATAATTCTAAAGCAATTAAAAATTCTACAATTTTGTTAAAAATTCTCCCATCGAATTCATAAATTTTTTATATATAAGGCAATCCTTTATAGACTTCAATTCTAGTACGATATAAAATAAATTCGCTAATAATATTGTAAATTCGCTTAAAAGATTTTCTTTTGGGAAACACGAAAAATTTAAAGGAATCTTGCCATCTATTTCCCGTAAAAATATTTTTAGAGCAACATTGTTTTAATTTTCATATTTCAAAGTTAATTCATAAAAATTTTAAACTATTAAAAATACAATATATGAGTTTGTATATTTATAATGCTTGTCATTAAAAGCGGATCTTTACCTTTTAATTAAAATCTAGTTTTGTTTTTAAAATTGAATAAAATCTGGTTTTAAAGAACTGCTTTTCATGATAATGTAGTTTTTTTTTTTTTGGTCATGTCTAATAAAATATAAGTAATCGCTTTTTTTTCTGACGCGATTTCAGAGAAAACGCGTCCTTAATAAAAAAAATTAGCAACTTAGTTTTTAATTAGTTTAGCATTTGCTTAGACTAGATTTGCTTAGAATAAAAAATTGTTGTACAGATTATGCTGTTGTAGGAATTTAAAGAGTAGCATTTAATAATTATTGTTTTAGTAATAATTTAGTCTTAATTTTAATGCTCGGATTGTACTCGTATCTTATTTGAGTATGTCAGTTTCAAAAACTTAATACTTTGTAAGTGAATTCCATTATTGCAGTCATAGTTTGTTTGGAGCATAGTATACTTTATAATTTTTATTTTTTGGGTCATAAACTTGGGAAATACCATTTTTAATATCAAAAATTTTAAGATGTTGTTAGCGCCTAAAATTATGCAAATTTTCAAATTTCTCATTTTCTAAATTTTCATTAGCCAGCTCTGTTCTTTTTTTTCTCCTAAAAATTTTTCGATTTACGTGCTGCCATTAGAAATTCATTTGACATTTTGCGTATTAATTAAGTGAATTAATTTTGATAATGACACATATACATTCATCCGTACCAGTACATTCAAATTAATCAAAATAAATAAACTTAGGATCGAATATTTTTGTGGAAATGAAGTTTGAAAGACAAAGTCTTCACAGGCAACAAAATCATTTTCTTAATGACAAAGTTCAGGCTCGTAATTTAAAAATAAATCTCTTTAATTCTTATGCAATATTTGTTTATGTTGTCATACTTCTTTTCACTATAATCAACTATCAAATTAACTAATAATATTTCATTTTGCTCGTGTGCAGCGCATATAGCTTTGTACCTACGTATATAATTAAAAAAAATCATCATCAATTAAAATATCTGCTTAGTATAAGACGCATGAAATTTCAAAAAACTCTTATTAATTTATAATTATTGTGTATGTATGTTGTATACTTACATTTTATAGGTTTTAAATAGTAAATTTTTGAAATTAACACTTGCTTTTAAAAAAAAAAATAAATGAGTATTTTTTTTATAATTTAATTAAATATTTATTGTTAATTTATATGACCCGCCGCCAAAATTCATATTATATTTTTTTTTCTTTGTAATATTATACATAATAAAAGTTAGTTAAGATCTTTATACCATGTTATATGGGCACATATAATTTATATAATTAATAATCAAAATATAACAGAAAAGAAAAAATCATATTATACAA